TGTGTTTGAAGCTTTTCTATAAGGCCCAGATCTTTTTCCTCAGATTTGAGCAACTAATGTTTTATATCTTCGATGGGGGAAATGATTTGTGCTCTTTGGAGTCTTGTTCAGGGGCAAGGAATTTAAAAATAATAAACTGTTAGTGTTGTTTGAGAATTATGGGAGGAAGTGTAGCAATTTGGAAAGGGAAGTGTTGTATCAGAACAGAGACTTCCTGATGGTGCCTGGCGGAGGCAGAGCTGGGCAGAGCTGGCAGCTGGCTGACAGTAACAGTACAAATGGGACAGCAGGAATCCAGTGGCTTTGGAGCAGCTGATGGATGAATTGCAAACACTGTTTTGTGCCCCTTTGTATAAGGAGCCTTTGTTTTGCTGTTGGCTAATGGGAGATGGTCACCATGGTCAGGAATGACTCTCTTCATTCTTAACTGGTGGCTGTCTTTTGCAGGTTGATTTTATCATCCATTGTCAGAAGAGGGCACGGGAGCCTCTTGATATTGGCCTGCCAGCTTAAATTAAGGGAGAGTTCCATCGTCTTGTCCCTGGGAGGTGGGAGGGAAGGCTGCACACCTGCCTGGTGATACCTGGACTGCTTCTTGCAGAAAGCCTAAAGCCTTGGGCTTGACTTGCAAAGTCATGAGACCTATTTGACATTCCCATTCCATGTTGTTAATCCAGTGTGGTCTTGCTGGACTTCCCTCAATGACAGGAGAACCATGAGGAGGGGTAGGACAAGCAGCAGTGGTGGTGGTGGTTGGCAGCCTGGTGTTCCCTGTGGGGACATTCAATTTTGCAATTGAACCTCTTGGATTCTTGACAGGTCAGGTCTGTTGACCCTTCTGGGCACACTGTGGTGAGTGTTTAGTTATTTACTAAAGCCTTTTGAAGTGAAAGTGGCTTGATGGGGTCTGACGCTTTTGTGTTCTGGAGAGTTGTGTGAGAATCTTTGCTGGGGTTAGCTATTAGCTGATGGTTTCATTATTTGGCTCTGTAACTAAGTAACTAAATGGCTTGGGACTTAAGATAAGCAGCTCTTTGTTAACATTTTATTAAATGGAGACTAATAATAATGATAATAATAATAATTTAAAACCTAAGGAAGTATAAACGTCTCAGTGAGCAAATCTGGAACAGAAACATGATTTGGAATACAATTGTGTATCTTAATAATCTGAAATAGAGCAGTCAGAGTGTCCTCAGTCCTCTATTGTGGTCATGCCTTTTATACAAACAGTCTTTACTCCACTTGATGGCTGGATGGCATAAGCCATGCTGTGAGGCTGTATGAGCCGGCAGAGAAAAAGTTCACAGCTGTTTATTTAACAGCAGCTTGGTTTTCCATGGCAGTATTGTTCCACAGCTCCACCTATAAAGTTTAAATACATTGTGTGCGCCACTGTTACAAATAAGGATGTAGCTGAGAGCAGAAAATAGCAAAAGCAGTGTTCCCTGTCCTGCAGTGTTTAAGAACACCCAGAGTAATTCTGCATGTGTCTTTGTTGCTTGTTTGGTGTTCTAAGGGGTGACAGACAGGTGTAATTCATGTCAGGTAGTGCAGCAATATCAGTGTAATTCATGTCAGGTAGTGCAGGAGGAATCAATGCCACAGTTACAGGATTTGCAGGCTTTCCTTAAAAAGGAACCTTGTGCATCCTTAGAATCAAGGAATGGTTTGGGTTGGAAGAGACCTTTAAAGGCTGTCTTGTACAATCTCCCTGCAACGAGCTGGGTCATCTTCAGCCAGAGCAGACTGCTGAAACTCTGTCCAGCCGGGCCTTAAATGTTTCCAGGGATGGAGCATGCACTGCCTCTCTGGGCAATTTGTGCCAGGGCCACCCTCATTGTAGAAACTTCTTTATGTCTAACATGACAAACCCAGCAAAGGGCTGGTTCACAGGCCTCTGGTGATGGCTGAGGGTCCAGTTCCAAGGTAGAGCTTCCAAGAGGGCTGGAGGAGCTGGATGTAATAGCAGGTCATCAAGCCTTGCCTCTGGAGCAGGGACAGAATCCTGCTGTCAGCCACAGGGGAGCCACAGGTTTGATGGTGCAGCATGGACGTGAGTTCAAAATTTGTCCCTAAATTTCAGAGCAGTGCAAAAATCCTTGTGTGGTGTCCCAGGGAGAGTTAACTTTGCAGCACAGGTTGTTTATGTGCTGCTGGGAATTTCTGAACACTTTGAACTGGTTGATTTTCGCAGTGAAGCTGTTGGGTGGATTCATGCCTCGGAATCCCACCTGTTCTCTGTTTGCTTTTGGGCACCATTTCAAACCCACACTGGAAAAAAGTTTATAGGCAAACATTATAAAAAGTGACAGTCTTAAGTGCTGCTACATTCTAGTTTGGCAACACAAAGGCTTACCTGAAATAACTCACAATTTCCAAACATGACTTCATTATGTCATGACAACACTTTGCTGCATCTTTCCTGATACTCTAGAGAGAAAGAAATGGAGGAGGATAATACATACCAAATGCTAATACTTGAAACTTGTTTTTCCTTTAGTGTACTAGTGATTTTCTTTGTAAAAGGACTTTTTTTTTTTTTAAATTGTAGTTGGGAAATAAATTACTGTTCTTAAGTTTGCATTTGCATTTGTGTTGAAAGACTCTGCAAATTTGGAGTTAGTAGTTTAAAAAGAGATGAAATCAGGGATGTGATGTTAAAAATTACTTTCGCTTTAATTTCCTTTTAATTGTGTGTGGGCTCATCCTGTGAGTTTCCTGGCACTGTTCAGCAGAAGGCTCTAATGCACTTAAAGGAGGTTTGAAGCATCATCACGCAAGGTGGCTTTCAAAGAAGTTTCAACAAAGACTTTTTTAGACTCCAGTACATTGCTGGCACAGTGTAAACTGTAAAAGAAATTTTTTTGCAGGTAGAGAGTTACAAAGTCTTATTAACTTCAAAGTAAATTAGGTAACTGGCTTCAGGTACCTTTTTATTTGACAGTGAAATCGAATGTAAAAAAATTCTCAAGCAGATTCAAACACACTCATTACTGGGACAAAATATGTATAGAAAGGGGCCTATGTTCCTTCTGGAAATTGGATTTCTGAGACCATAATGTAGCACTCAGTGAAACACCTGCACTGCAGACCTGTGGGTTTGTGACTGTATCAGCAAGACTGAATTAGTTTATAAGAGGTATAAATCTGTATTGGAGCCTGTCCTAGACTCTTGAGATGGAACTCTGCATGCTAGAAAGTTTAGAGACCTTGTTATAAATTCTAAATCCAAGAAGCTTTGCAGTCTCTAATTGGTTGTGTTGGGATGGGTTTCATGTGCCACCTTGGTGTGATGTGTGTGTCAAATCTGTTCTTTGAGAAAACATGTTTGCTGTAATGAAAAAGGCAGGAGAAGCTTTGATGGGGCACATTCCTGTAATGACAGAATTGCAGGATGAGTGGGAGGAAAACTGGGTCTCCCAAGTCCATCAGTAGAACCTGATACCTAAATCTCCCACTGTGCTGGACCCTTCTGGTGCTCATGGCATCATATTTCAAATTAGAAGGGACTCATGGGGACCGTCAAATCCAACTCCCTGGTCATTGCAGGGCTGCACAAAACTCAACTACTGGCAGAACTTCAGCATTCCAGACTCCCATCTCCAGGCCTGCTCTGATGTGATGCTTGTTTCAGGCTTCCCTGTTGAAAGTGTGATACAAAAAATGACAGCCCAAGGAGGGGGAACAATGGTTTTGGCATTCTTAGAAGGAAGTGTGGACATCAAAGAGTCACCTTTCAGTACTCCCTCAGAGTCCCAAGCAGACAGAGAGGTGTTTTTTTTTTATTCCTAGGCAAGCAGTTGGTGCCTGTGCAGGGCAGGACGTGTCCGGGGTGCACGGGGAGCAGCTGTCTGTGAGCTCTGACCCTCCCCATGAGCAAACAGAAGATGCCTCTGCTTCTTTCCTTTATTTACCATTCCTGCTGCCCTCGGCGAGGCCCCTGAGAGAGGGATAGTGTGGTGGTAGAGAGAAACCAGTTCCAGAAGCAGTGCCTGTCTGTGGGACAGCCTGAGCTCATCATAGGTGTGCTGAGCCTTCGCGCTGCACTGTGGAGACAGTCTGGAGTGCCCGGGGCTGCTGGTTCTTTCCCCCTGCTGAGAACTGGCCCTGCAAGGGGGGGATGAAGCTCTAGTAACTATAGGCAGATGTAGTTTTCCAAGGATGTTTTTTTGGAAAAAGACTGTGGTTTGACATTCTTCTTGTTACCAAAGGGAGCTGACGGATGAGCCATTGCGTTCGGAACTTGTGTGCATGCTTTGACTTTGAAAGCTTTGCTTGTGCTCCTGGGTTTCTGCTGTATTCCACTTGGGAGAGTTTGTGAAATAAGTAATGAAGCAAAAAAGAATTTAAAGGGAAAAGTTACTGCCATGCAGAGAAGTGCTGGTAGTGCAGAAGGCAAATGTGGAGACTTTGTGATGGGCACTAGGAGAAAAATAAAAACTATCACATATGCTGTGTATAGGAACTCATGCTTATTAGCTTAGTGAATGAAGGGGTTTTTTGGCATCTTTTTCTTTCAAAACAGCACTTCCCAAGTTTTAAAAATTAAAAAGCAACTTATAATAAAATCAGGTGGGGAAAGATAATTATTAATTTGAATTGTGGAGCCAAACACGAAGATAGAAAACGGGATTTGCCTTTTGAACCCCTCCTTCTCCTACAAGTCCTTTGAAGCCTCCAGGTTCTGCAAACCTCATTGTCCCCTGTTCTCTGTGACCGATGAGAGGAGTAATGTTTGTGTGGTTCTGGGGACAAGGGACATGCCAAGACACTGATCAAAAGCGCCTGAGCTTTACTGGTGGTGAACTTCTTGAAAATAACCTGCATGTGGTTCAGTTTAACAACACGGAATACTGGGCGAATCTGGACGAAACTTTTTTTTATTTAACGTAACTTGATTTCCATGGATGAAAAGGGCCTTCACTGACCTGTTTGGAAATTCTCTCCTTTCCCTTCTCTTTCTTCTATTTTTTCCTCCTTTCCTTCCACCTTCGCAGAGCCGCCAACCAAATACCAAATCTCTCAGCCAGATGTTTACTCAGCACTTCCAGGAGAGACGCTTGAGTTGCGCTGTCAATTGAGAGACGCCGTCATGATCAGTTGGACTAAGGATGGGCTCCCTTTGGGGCCTGACAATAGGACAGTGATTATTGGGGAGTACTTACAAATTAAGGATGCCACAGCCAGAGATTCGGGCCTCTATGCTTGCACTGCTGTTAGGACCCTAGACAGTGATACTCTGTACTTCATTGTAAATGTTACAGGTGAGTGAGTCAAACACAGGTTTTTGCATGCAGAAGCTGTAAGATGTGACGTTAAGACACTTTATGACCTAACATGAAACAGTCCACTAGGGCACAGTGAGTTAAGATAAGTTCTGTAGCCATTTTTGGGATTTTTCTCCTTGTCCTGACCCTGAAATGGGCTCAGTTTGTATCTACCCCTTTTTGCTCCATGGGCTCTACAGAGATTAACAGCTGCTGTAGAGCTCTCTGCTTTATGCCACTCCGACAGGATTAAATTAGACAGTTACTGTGAGGATGTCAAAGCCAGTAGAATGAATACAGGTTTTTGCCCCATGCATCAGAAAAGGAAAATGTGTGTTCTACATCCAAGTTTAGAGATAGTGTTCTGCAGATGCTCAGTTCTGTTCAACTGCATTTCTTTAATGGAAGTTAAAGAAAAAAATATAAAGCAGAAAAATTTTTGCAATTAGCGAACTCCCCATGGGAAACTCTGTAGCACTTCATGACTATTAGCTAGATTTGTTACAATTTTACATGGAAATAGCACATTTTGTGGCACATTTTCTTTTTCTCTAGCTTCTGCACAACTAACAAGCACTTGTTCTTCTTAATACACAGTCTAAGATGTAGCTTATCAATTTGTTTTTCTGTTAAAAAAAAATAGGCTGGTTTAAAGACTTGGTTGTTTTTAATGTGCAGATGCTCTTTCCTCTGGGGATGATGAAGATGACAATGATGGGTCCGAGGACTTTGTGAATGACAGCAACCAGATGAGTAAGTAACAGTGAACTGCCAGAAGTCCCTAGCAAGATCCACGTGGAAAATTATGTCCCATCTCTTGCACTCCTGTCTTCAGAGCTTCTTCATTGTTAACTGCATGTACTGTCAAACAGTGGTATCTTTGTCCTCCTCTGTTTTCTGTTTCATGTAGCTCGTAACTTGGAAAAGAAAAATAAAAAATAAACTAATACTCTTTTGAACGTGCTTTTCTGGTCTGTACTTTCTTTTTTCCCTTCTTCCTGGCATTTCTGCAGTTTCCTTTCTTTCTGAATCGAAGTTTGGTCTTTGTCTGGTTTAGAGTCTGACAGATGAACTAACTTTTCCTGAACCTGTGCAGAAATTCAACAGAAGAAACAAAGATCCAGCATATTTTGTTAAAAGGTGGTATGAAAACTTTAAAAAAAAATTAAGTTGTAATGAGGAAAATCCTTCAATCCCTAATCTCAACAGAAATCTCGCCAGGGTGGATGAATTGGAGACAATGAGGTTCTTTTGTCTGCAAAGAACCATAAGGTTTGTTGCAAAGAAGGCGATTCAGTGCTAAACCCACATTTTATGTTACTTATGCATGATGAAAATGGGCTAAAAGAGTCTTAGACCTATCTGAATGCGTTAAACTTTGTCCCCTTTAGAGAATTCATAAAGCTATTAATAAGCTCTAAATAGAGCACTCTCTAAGAGGGAAAAAAGTATGTAAAATTCATATTGGCTCCTTATGCACTGTGCAGTGTAGCAAAACCCCCTCGGTGACTGGTGCTTTGCTGTCGCTGGTGCCTGGTAAAGTCACTAACACGGAGAGCACAGAAATCCCTTGGGGGAGCTGTCAGTGAGCAGCACCCACAGTGGGCAGGGAGTGTGTTTGCTGCTCAGCCTGGTCAGGAGCTGGCAGCTGCACTGCAGCCTGGAGCACTTGTTCAGGTGAGCAAGCACGAGCCTGATTTCGGCTGCCCCGGTTAGCGCCTTTTGTGTGCGGCTGCCCCCGGTCTGAAGCTGTGAAACATTAGATGCTATTTAAAGTGATATAAGTTCCTGGCTGCCTGTTTGGCCTCTGCCATCTGTTAGTGTGATTAACCCTGGCCTGATGCACAGGTGCCTCTGGAAGGGGCTGAGATCAGGCAGCTGGAGGTGCCCTGACAGAGGAATGCAGTGGCAAAGGGAATTGGAGAGCTTGGAAAAGGGACACTGCTTTTAAAACAGGTTGTCTAGGCAAAACTCACCAATCCAGGCAGTGTTAGCTCTGCCCAGAAACGGAGCTGTAACAGAAATTCCTGTTAGGAAACATTCCTGATGTTTGCTGTTCCTTAAAGCTTCACTGGTAGTGGTCAGAAAAGGACTTGTGACATTTTCAGGGACAATTGTGCTTCTGATCTGCAGTGGTGGCTTTGGTGATCCATTGTGAGCATAAATGGCTTTTGGAAGAAGTGAAGGACCTGCTCTCAAGGCAGCTGTGCTCTGTAATGGCACAGAAGGATTCCTGCCCTTCCAGCGACAGGGAGCAGTGCCCAGCAGTTGCGCTAATGACATTCTTGTAAAACGAGCTATCATTTTAAGCTACTGTTAATCAATCTTGATTGGGGAGCTGGTGAAAGGCTCTTGACAGTGTCCATCTGCTGGGGCAGGGATGTGTGCTGCAGCAGGGGCCAGCACACTTTCCCTGCTCTGAGTGAAAGATGCCTCTCAGGCGTGAACGTTCCAGCATCGCGGATGGCAGGGAAAATGTGGAGATGGAAAGGAGGAAACTGCAAAAGACAAATTTGGACCTGAGCAGAGCATTCCACAAGCAAATCCAAATTGTTGGATTGCTCTTTAAAAGGTCTGCTGAGGGAGCAGCACAGCCTCCCGGGGTCTGAGCTGGAAGCAGAACGATGACTGAAGGGTCGCGGCACCGTGTCCCTCCAAGCATTCTGTGTCCAGTGAAAAGCTGCATCATAGTAACTCGATTAATACAAGGCTGCTGAAAGAGGGCTGTGATTTGGCAAGTTTTGTGTGAAAGTCAGGGGTGGGACTTGGTGTGGTGTGCCTAGTGCCTTGTAAGCCTTCTTTTCCTCTTCCAAGTTTTCTGTCACATCCAAGAGGCCGCATCTAATTGAAGATACTGTGTTACAAGGCAGATGGAAGATGGAGGAGTGAACCAGGAGCTGTGTGCGTGTCCTGTGTGTGCTGTGGGGCAGGCAGTGTACACAATGGCTGAGTGCCCTCTACCTTCCCTTCCTATGGGATGCTGAGCCTGGCAAAGTCCATGACCTCACAATAGTCCCTGGCCGCTGCTCTCCTGCAGAAGTCTTTTAAGCGTTTCCTCAATCATGGTTTGAGTTTTGCAGATCTCAAATGATTTAACTGATAATTTACATACAAATTATAGCTGTGATCATTAAGGATAAGCAATGGAAATTGGCATGGTTATGCCTTTACTAATGGAAACAAAAGGCCATAGTCTTCAAAGGTTGTTGCTTTTTGATGAAACAATTCTGATAAAGTCCAGCTGTCTTGGCATGTTAATTATGATGAGATGAGGCAGGAAATGGCTGTAGTGCCTTCAACAGGAAGCTGAACCTTGGCATTCTCATTCCTGCATACTTAAAACTAAAACTTTTTAGAGCTGTTTTATTTACACTGCTAAGTATTCTTTTAAGCTGTTGTATTTCAGAGGCTAAGGTTTCCAAATGCAGGTGGAGAGGCTGTTGCGGAAATCTAGTGTGATTTTCAAGGCTGCCCAGAAAATACAATTGCTCTTGAAGTCAGTGGAGGCTGTAGGTGACTCTGTAGATGTGAGGAGCAGCTCCTCCTTGGGAGAGGAGGGCACTGGTGTGTACCCACATGCATTTGACCACTAGCCCTGTGTGTGTTTTTCAGTGAGAGGCACACTGAGCAGATTTCACTCTGCTTTTGCTGTCCCTTCAGCTTGACAGATACTTTAACTGTCTGAAAAAGCACTGTGGTAGATTTGTTCCAGACTGCATCCTGAATAGCTTTTTATTACTTCCAGCTTTTGTTAAAGGGATTAGTGCTCATGGGGAAGGTGCAGGATTGGTTCCACTGCAAAACAGTACTCTTTCTCCACAAAGGGTTGGTGGTTGCAATCAAGTCCACCAACTAATTTATTCTGTAGACTTCTGAGTAGCCCTGAAGATGCTGCTGCTCTGCCTTGAATTCTGGTCAGGCAACTGGAGGCTTTATGACTTTTTTTCCTTATCGCCCTTTAAACAATTTCTTCTGGGCCAAGCAATGGTAAATTGGCACCAAGAACAAAAAGTATCTAAATGTAATCCACATGCTGTTCCTTTCATGCCTTGAAGAGTTTCAGAAAGGATGAAACAAGGTTCAAATTCATCAAATCCTGTAGAGTGGAAACCCACTCAGGGGAGCAGCAAAAATTGGATGTTGCCTAGAAGTGTTTTTTAATTAAAGGTCAAATACAATAGCACTGAAAACCTTGGAGGAGTTTGAGGTGGTCACTTATGGCACGCTATTGCCTGCTTGAGGTGCTTGTCAGGCAGGCTTGGAGTTGACTACTTTTGTGTTTCTTTGTATTAGGTAAGTCCAAATAAAAACTGAAGAGTCCTGAACTGAAGTGGTCCCCTGGGCTTCCTAATTTCAATTTCACATGCAGGAGATTTGGCTGATTAGATGTAATGTCTGTGCAGTGTGGGTCAGCAGGACATTTTCTTCACTAATGAGAACTCTACGAGCAATCAGGAATTCCCACCCGTTCCCCTGCTGCTCTTTGCTGCTTCATGCTGGAGTCTGCCCTGTGGTTACTGTGAACTTTTAGCAGTGGTGCCACCTACTCCACCTGTCCTGGTGGTGGTGATGGGATGTGATGGACGTGGCCCATGGGAGCAGTCAGCACCTGGTGGTGTCTACTCATTAACTGTGTTCATTATCGGTTTTAGTGAAGCTCGGTGTTTTTCCTCTCAAGACAAATAGAAGCATTAAAAGGTGTTTTAGGTTATGATGATTTAATCTATAAAGAAGAATGCTGTGTGCTAATCAGATCAATCACTGAACGAAAGCACAATTTGAGGGCAAGTGTGATGGTTTGTGGATGTTGCTGCCTTTTCCTCTTTTCCTTGAACATGCTGAGGAGCTGCCAAATGTAGAATGTCTTGAAGCATTTTCAGATGGTGCTTTCCATATGTGATGTCTGCATGTTTTTCTCCAAGCTGACCTGTAATTTAGAAGCATTGCAGGTTATGCTGAGGGTTGGGTGAGGGGAAGCTTTCCAAACAAACTTTTCTCCCGTTCTGGGGTGTTTCCTTTCCCCTCCTGTGGGACAAAATGAAACCACTTCTCTTCATTCCTGCCTGCATCTGCCTGGCCTCTTTTTCGCACCCATCTCTGTCAGAGATCTCCCTCTGTGCATTTGTTGCATTGGAGCTTTTCCAGGGGCAGGTTGTTGATGGATAGTTATTTTCAAGAAAACCAGAGGATGGGCTGGACCATAACAGCACAAACTTGGCTGTGTGAAGCAGCTTTGGGGAGCTGCTGGTGGCTGCATCCTGACTGACTCCAGTGCCCTGGTCTCAGTCTGCAGCCTGATGGGAGCTTCCCAGAGCTTGCTCTTCCAGGGCAGCTTTGCCATGGGTGAGCTGTGGAGGCTCAGAGGCTGTGCTTGCCAGTGGCTGCATGAGAGCTCTTTGTGCCCCGTACGTGTGAGAGAGGTTTGTGTGATGGATGTGGTGGGAAGTGACCGTGCTGGCTGCAGAACTGCTGGGTTGGCAGTACCCACTTGGGGCTAAAGCAAACCCTCTGCTCTGGCTGGGGTGCTGATACAACCAGATTGAATGGTTGGTTGTCTTTGACCTGCCCCAGTTTGCTTTGACTTTATGGGAGCTGCAAGTAGGGCCCAGCAGAGGTTGCCTTGTGGGAGACGTTTTAGCAGTCCAGGGAAAACAGCTTTTTAATCCCTCAGTACCAGCATGTAATTCTGCCTTTGCCTGGTGTACTTGCAATGTAATTTGGCCTTTGCGTGTAGCAGTTAATTCCTCTGGTTGGCTTTGTTTAAAGTCTTCTGTTGTTTTAATGTGATCCTGCTTTTAGCAAATAATGTTAACAGTGATTTTCCTTGCATCCCTAATTCACTTCAGTCTCCGTAACAATTTCTTAGTGTTGCAGTTAAATTTTCAATAGTTACTTGATTTTCTATTTTGATTACATGCATAAATTTGCTTTGCTTTTCTACTTCATTAATTTTAACACTAATTGCCACTTCGGGCAAAAAAAAAAAAAACCCCAAACACTTATCGTTCATAGCATCATTATAGGACTTGCTTTTAGAATGTTTTCTTTATACTGAGAGAGACTTTGTTAAAGGATTTATTCCTGTATTTTCTGTCCAGCTGTATTTTTATTTGGGGGGTGGGTGTGGGGTAGCAGGATTTCTGAGTTTGCACTGATTGTAAGAGCTGCTATAAATATTTGAGGAACAGAAGAATTTATTTATAGTGGAGTGTTGGCCTGCTAATGAAGGAAATGAAGCAGGGTTGTGAGAAATGGAGTTATTTTTCTGGACCCCTCTAGTCCTAAGAATTCCAGGCTAATCTGATTTGCTTCAGGAAAACTCCATTGTAAAAGAAATTAATGTTTCCTACTATAAAATAGATCTTGAATCTTTAACTTAAAAAAAACAAAACAAAACAACCCTGTTATGGTAAGATGACTGAAGCAATGCCATGAAGTCTTTGAGAAATGTAGATGAAGCTGTGCAAGGATCCAGAGCATGGGATAACTTTGTCTTTGGGTCTGTGTCTCCAAGTTTACTTCTGTGAGGGTAAAAACTTATGGGCAGTTGTAAATTTTGTTCTGCTGTGTTTCCTCTACTGGTACATGACAAACATGCTTCTCATGATGTTCATGTGGGCACAGGCTGGGCCAGGACATGGCAAGGAGTGAGCGAGAGCCAGGAGAGCCATGTCAGGGTCTGGGAAAATGCTCACTTCGGAAATTGTGTGTTGAGAGAGAGGCACTCTAATTTTATGCCATGTTTTTGGATGTCACTGACCCTTTGGACTTCAGGAGGCTCATTAGTGCAGGAAACCCCTCCAAAATGATAAATGCTTTTTGCTGATCCACATTTACTCGTTTGGTTTCCTCTGCTTGGGTTAAGATTTCAGAAATATGTTCCATTTGTAAATACATTTCTGTGGTTTCTATGGCAGTAGCAGCACAGTTCACCTTGGCATCACACACTGCAGGCTTTAGCTGCTGTCAGACTGGTGGGTGTTTTTATCCCCCTTCTCACAGAAGGGGAAAGGGGGAAGGCTCATGCTTCCATGCATCTTCTGTTTTGGTCTGTCTGACTTCACAGCTGAGGGCCAAAAATTCTGAACCATCGCAGTAACTCAGCTCAGGGTCAATATTATCTGATGAAAACCCACTCCCTGTGTCTTACTTGATGTACGCAAAACAAAAGTTGTCTGTGGTTAATTACTGGAATTTTGTCACAAATTAAATACCCAGAGCAGCAGACTGAGCCGTTTGCAAAACCCTGGCTGACACTTGCAGCATCTGATCTCCAGTCGTGTGCTCTTTGTAAACCGTGCTTGAAACCGGTTCCTGCGGCTCTGCGCGCCAGTGGAAGGGGCTGGATGGGGAACCGAGTTTCCAAGTGCTGATGTTTCTGGATGTGTCCCTTTGGAACAGGGGCACCTTACTGGACACACACGGACAAAATGGAGAAGAGGCTCCACGCCGTGCCGGCCGCCAACACCGTCAAGTTCCGCTGCCCGGCCATGGGCAACCCAACGCCGACCATGCGCTGGCTGAAAAACGGGAAGGAGTTCAAGCAGGAGCATCGCATTGGCGGGTACAAGGTAAGGGCTCACCATGGCGTTTTGTAATTTCTCTTCTTGACCAAAGCTGTTAGGAAAAAAAAGCCAACCAAACAACCCAAAGCCAGCCCTCCTCCTTCTCAAAAAAAAAAAAAAAAACCCCAAAAATCTACCAAAAACTTGCTGAAGTCAACAGAAAATATTTTAATGGCCTTGGATCAAACGGGAAGCAAAAAGAGGTGGTTGTTTTCTTCTGGGGGAGGGTGGGTGGTTTCTTTGGCTAAGAATTAGTTACTGAGCACGAATTATTTATTTTTTTTCTGAAATTCAAGCTTCTAGCCTAGCAGTGCAGCTAAGGATTATTTTTAGAGACGTATTTGGAAAACTAAAGACTGACTTAGCAAAGCAGATTAAGACTGTTTTGCTCTATTCATTTTTGGCTGCATTGTTAAAAACATGGCCATCCGCTCTGGTGAGTGTAAGGCAGTTTAATAAAGGAAGCCTTGGAAGTCAAAAGTTATTATTTTCTATAGAGTTTATGGCCTGTGAAACTGAAATGGGAAGAAGAATTTGAGGGGAAAGTAACAGCAATTACTTAGAAGGGTTTGTTTGAATTTTAAATAGCTTCAGATTAGATGTCTTATTCTGAGTTGGTGGTTACTGATTAAGAGAGAGTTTTAGGGAGGCCAGCTTGCTCTGTGTGTTAGTGCACAGACCTTTAACCTCGTGGTATCTGCCTAGGTCAGGTCAGAAGTCAGGATTCGGTCATCTGATCCCTCTCCTCCAAGGAACTGGGAATGCGTGACTTTGGTGGCAAATTGCTGTTCAAGCATTGCCATTTCTGACTTCCTGTCACCTCCTGTGTGGGTCTTCTCTGAGCGGTTTCCTCACATCCCCGACACCTCGGCAGCTCCTCCCCCAGGAGGAGAAGTTTCTGAGTCAGTCCCCTTGTGTCAGGGCTGGAATCCCCATCCTGGAGCTTGTGCTGAGCTGCTCCCAGCAGTTTGCAATGGTTGTTGGACACAGATGAGCTGTCTTTGCTAGACAGAGCTCAGTTCTGAGTGCTGAGGCTGCCCCCAGTCCTGCACCACTGCCTTGCCCCCTGGTTGCAGTGGTTTTGGGGAGCTGCCTCGGCTGAGCCATTGCTTTGGCAGCTGTTGATTCAGGTCCTGCCCGGTGCAAAAAAAATCTGTTTTCCAGTGCAGAGGAGGACAAGCCTCAGTCTCCTTTCCTCTCTAGCTGGATTTACTGTAGAAAGTGTAATTTTTTCCAACATTTGTGTTAGCAGAGAGCAGAGCCCAGAAAGTCTCCCCGCATGAGCACTAATTATCTAAGTAGACTTTTCCATCTATGTTTGCTTACACCATAAATTTCTGTTGCTTGTGAGTGTACACCTGGCAACACCTCCTGCCTTTCATAACGCTGTGGAGTGTTAACGAATTGGCTCCCATTCAGTGATTTTTGCCCTTCTCAGTGCTTTTTTAAAAACAAAAAAGCACCAATTAAGGAAAAAAAAATCCCCAACCAAACTAATCCTGTCTTGGAAAATAATAGTAACTGTTCTGGTAGTAACCAGGCTGTTATTTTGAACACTTTGCATCTGATGAAGGGGAAATGAAGATATCACTCTTGAAGACCATGAAGGAAAATGTGTGTTTAGAGAGGCAGGATGGAGATACCTGGTGTCTGCTTTGGGAGGGGGATCTTTGGTGGGGTAAATCAGCTCGTGTGGGGCTCTGTGCTGGCACTGCTAGTGTTAGGGAGCTGGGTGAGATCATTTAGAGTTGTGCCCATTAAGTGGCACAAATGAAACTTTTGGTCGTGTATTAAATGTATGCAATTTCCTAGGTATGTATGCACTCTGGGAAGGAACCACAGTTGCCTGTTCCTAAAGCCAGCTGGATGTGTGAAGTCTGTACCTCTAATTCTAAATCATAACTTCTTATATCTCTTTAGTCCAAAGGAAAAAAAGAGGGCACACAGCTGAGGATTTCAGACTTTCTTGTTGCTCCTAAAGACATTAAATTTTAAATTATCTTGTAGAATTTACTTACCATTGTTGAATCAACCAAATCCGTGTATATTCTATATTCTGTCATTTTGAATAATCATCTTTGAAGATGGAAGCTTGTTCCCAGTGAATGGGTGTTAAAGATTGAGGACTCCAGAGCTCTTTTTTTTGAGCTGTGTCCTCATCCTGTTCGAGGGGCAGGATGAAGTCACTGTGGGCTCATGCAAAATTATACTAGAATAGAGGGAATTGTATTTTCTTGACATCACTATGCCAATGAACTTTCAATCAAGGAGTCCTCAGGAAGGATTGAGTCTGTCTGTGCTGGTCTGTGTTTAACCAGGTATCACAGCAGCTGATGCTAAATCTTGCACATTAGTTTGTCTTGAAACTGGGTGTTGCTCTCTGCAAGGCATTTTTGCTGGAGATATTTACAATATTTATGATAGAATCGCTGGATCCAAACCTGGCCATATCTGACAGAAGAGACAATCATCCTTTGAAGCCTTAAGGGACAAAGGGAAGGGAAAGAAAACGTGAGGCTTCCCAGTAATCCTTCAGCCACCTCTTTTCTGCTAAGAATGAGAAATCCCTTGGTGTATTGTTTTTATCAAAATCAGATAGTGGCTGTAGCACTTTGTCCCTCGGACTGGGGAATGTCTTGAGTCAATTTGCACTCAGGCAGGCAAGCAGGAGGGTGTATGTTCTGGCCAAGATAGCTTCCAGGGCAGAATTCCTGCACTGTGACTAATTCTGGGTGGTGAATTTCAAAATTGATCCTTTTATGATCTTTCGAGATATACCCAACCTCCTTAAAATAAAGACAACATGAATTATTGAATATCTAAATTATTTTTACTCTGATTTTTCAAAGTGATGATAACTCTTGTTTGTGCCTTTAGAGGCATTTGATATTTTCTTTGAGTTGATAATCTAAATCCTCTCTGAGACCATGGGAGCCTTTTCTTTCCTGTACACCACCCAAAAAGCAAACGCACTTCTATCAGCTGTTACTGTTTAAGCATTAACACGTGTGTGTTTGCACCTATGCATTTGGATAAGCCTCATCACTGCAGTTGTCTTAAACACATTCAAATTCAGCCAGGTAAATACAGAGTAAGAAAATTTATGATTACAGGAACAACTGCACAAGCCTGTGGCCTTTGCCTGGAGTGTTCTGTACGTGTTCTCTTTGTCTTAGCAGTACTCTCACAGTCTGAACTGTGCTGCTTTTGTGGACAGTTGTATTTTCATTTCTAATCCTTCTTTCCTTTGAGATTAGTTTAAAATGCATCCTTTTTTAGCTAAGTGACAACTTTTCATGACATTATCTCTCCAGTGAAGACACACATTTTAACACTGAACAGAACTGTTCACAGTTCTCTATGGGATACTCCAAAAGCAAATAGTTTATATGAAAAATTCCTTGCCCTTTCCCAGTTCTCTGACCAGTATTCCTTGGCTTTTTGATTCCAGTTTGATTCCCACCTCTAAGCTATAACTTAAGAATGCAGTTTGTATGCATTTGATACTGATAATGCAGTTTAAAAATTAAATCTTTCGGAGGGATTGTTTGGAGGAATGATTTAAACCTTGATGGAAAGGATTTCCCCCCAATAAAGCTGTCAGTAATTTGCCAGAAGTGTCCATAGCTAGTAAGGAAAACACCTGGGCTAAGGGATGTGGCATTTCATGTAAAAAAGCCACATTACCAAAGCCTGTGTTTCAAGCTGTGTGGGTGCAGGGATGTGGCTGGGCTGTTGCATGACTGAGAATGAAATGTTGAATTTGGAAATATTCAGTGAGAGAAGAGGCTGCTCATCCCCAGCAAAGGGGTTTTTTCCTGGACTTTGCAATGCTGCACTTGTAGCTGCAAAGCACTAAGCCAAGAATCTCATTGGATCCAGAGCCCTGACATTAATCCAGTTGTCTGACAATGTGTCATAACTGCTTTGGACCTCTACAGCAGTTGTTTAGCTTAAACCAAAGTGGCTTAAGCTGTTGTTTTGTTATAAAGATGTTATCTCTGCCCATGCAGTTACAAGAAGGGAAATTGCACAAATACTTTTTAATATTCCCATCCAGTATATCCACTTGTGGCTGTAAGTTAGTTATGTTTTCTTATTGAACATAAACAATTCCTTGTGTTTTCCTGTCAAATTAATTACCTGCAGCTTGTTTACAATTTTTATTTGTTTTAACTTTTGTGGAACTATGATCTGGTCTTCCTGTTTTACAATCACATTGACTAAAAACTCTTGCTCTGATTCAGAAAAGTGTGTTTTAGCTTGTAATGGCAGAAAGTTCAGGTCACTTTGACCAAGTGTCCTTCAAAATAAATCACAAAGAAGTATTTAATACTCAAAATATGTAGCTGTTGTATTTGTTATTTACCAACAGTTTATGACAGCATTTCTTCCTGACCCAAACTTTGACTTTCAGAATTGCTTAGCAGAACAATGAGATGTTAAAATAACACTGATAAAGTCTTTCTATTTCTATAAACTTATCTATAAACTTTTGTGGAGAAAAATCAAGATATCATTTTGATGAAATCAATATAATTGTTTTGACCATCAGTACGGGGGCTGAGGAGATAAACCTTAAGTTTGGACTGGAGTTTTTGAAGCTGTGTCACACATTGCTCTGACATTAGCTTAGCACCTTCTCCTGCTGGAGTCTTGCCCACACTTTCCTTGCTTTTCAAAGCCCACATGGCCAGTCATTAGCTAAATATTATTAGTCCACAACTGAGCAATAAGAGACATATCCAGGTATTGAGACAATTACTAACTGGGGGAATTAGGAAAGCCAGGAGCTGCCTATAGAGAGAACTTCTCTTCCAAGCTTTGAACTGAAGGCATTTTTACCTCCAGCAAGTGCTGTTGGCACTGGGATGTGGCCCTGTGCAGCTTTTCCTGCTGGATAAGGACCTACAAAATAGTCAGGCACGATGTAGGATTTCATAGCTATAGTTGTAATGATGTTTTAAGAATGTATGGTTACTGGAAGCGTCACTGAATGGTCCATACATTTTTCTAGTGTACAGCACTGAATTACTGCTTTCCATTTGGCTGATTAAAATGACTGTAGCAGATTGTGTTTTATTCCATTTGCTGAAATATGTACTTTGCAGTTGAAGAATTGTACACTGCAGCTACAGAGAATGTTAAGCTTTCTGAGCACTTTGTCAAAAATGTAATGCTAAGACAAGGAATTAGTCCATAGCCAGCAAAAGGTCATTTTGGGAGCCAACTTCTGATGCAGGAAATATATGTGTGTACAGGATGGCTCTGTATCCTTCCAGTACTGGGCTGGATCCTATTTTCTGTGAGACCAAAGCCAGTGCTCGTTTGGAGTTCAAATAAGAACATAATCAGTACCTTTAATAAATTCTGTCTGAGAGGGATTCTGTGAGATAAATGTATATCCTTATTCTCTGTTTCAATGAGGATTTTTTTCAGGCATTTTTGATGAGGCAGCATGATTCTAGGATTAATTTCTTTCTTGGGGCACCCCAGAGCAGCAGGAGGTCTGGGGGAGGAATCCCAAACATCACCCCTCAGTTTCTCTAAATTGTGAGCTGTGTTACTGAGCTTTTAGGAAGGATGAAGACCTGGATGTTTAGGGGATCCTATCCATTCTGTGTTGCTGATGGGCAGCTATTACCAGGTGGCTCTTTGGAGACAGATGGGGAATACCGTGAGGGTGTGCATTCACTTCTGAGTAGATTGAAAAGTAAAGCCCAGTAAGACCACTGCTGCTAATTGGTGCCATCCTGCTCAGCCTGGGAGGACTGAGTGTCCACTGACATCTGCAGTGCTTGGAGCAGGGGCCAGGTAGATTTATAGCAGAGGGTGTGAAAGCTTTCACTCTGCAGCCATGCTGTCCTGGGTCAAGCATAAATCATTTCAGCGTCCAGAGCTGTCAAACAAGAGCAGAAGAGGCTTCCAACTGTGGATTACACAAAGATAACTATTCAGTGAACAGTTCTTTTGCAAGGGGAGAGGGTAAAACTCTGCTTGAGAAGATCCCAACCTGTCTGGTTCCATCCCCCAGGTCCGTAACCAGCACTGGAGCCTCATCATGGAGAGCGTGGTGCCGTCGGACAAGGGGAACTACACGTGCATAGTGGAGAACCAGTACGGGTCCATCAACCACACCTACCACCTCGACGTGGTTGGTAAGTGAAGCTCTCATGGGCAGGACACTTTTTCACTAATGGCTTTCTCTATTAAAGCGTTTGGAACTGAGCTGCTACATTCCCCGTTTATTTTGGAGATGATTTCGCAGTACTCTAAAGATAAGATTTCACTGCACAGCCAATTGCTTCATAACTTTATATATTCATCTGTCTCACTCGTGCCTGTAGGATTAATCTACCCCTGCCTTGGCAAAAAGTGTAATATCCATGTGCAATATCCACCCACAAGTTTGCCATGACGACCAAATAATACATGCTGATGCAACCTTAATCATTAGTGTTACAATTTAATTATTACTTGTACGATTGTACTAACACAGACTTTAATAACTGCAGTTATGAGAACTGTCAAGCAATCCTTTAGAGTCCTGTTATTAGAGCTGAAATTATTTTTTTTTCAAATGGAAAGCTAGATATTGACTTTGCAGCTAGAGCAGATCTGGAGCTTCAGGAAGGGCAGTTTGCATTCACAACAGTCTCAGAGAGTTCTGAGTGGAGCCTCTTGGGTGGGCTCTGAGCAGTCCCCAAAACACAGATGATAAAAATTCGGAAGAAATGTTTTACCTGAGGACAAATTCTAAACAGCTGTGTGAATTTTTAAGTAGTAGCAAAGCTGTGATTATGCAGGACTATTAAACACAGGCTTAATAATATTACCTTATTAATACCTAAATCCTGTTGACTTTAATAAGGCTTACAGATATTTATTTAAGTGGTTAGCTAAATTAGAGCTTGAAATCTCAGGAATAATTTCTGTTCACCTCTAGTCTTTCTGATTAGCCTAGATGGGTGTGAGCAATTTTATTGACTCTGAAGGCATTGATGTCCAAAATAACCAGTGTGGCTTTTCTTATAGGACCTTTAGGGGTCAGAGCCATGGTTTCTGAAGTGTGTCTTGAATGGGCTTTGTTCTCTCCAGCTTTGTGAGGTGATCTGAGCATTACCATCTCTGTGAATAGAACTTTTGATCAATCACTATTGAAAGCAAAAATTAATTTGATTATTGTATGCTATTTTTGGCTGGTGACAGACAGCCCAACTCCATAGATTCTTTGTGGAATATCTTACTGTAAGGACTTATAGGACTTAAAAGGTGACAGAATGGTAATTTCCCTAGTTCTTGATTGGTTTTACATGAGTAAAAATATATCCCTTGTGCATTGTTTTGGATGGTCTTTATAAGTAGTGTCTTGTTTCGTCTGAGACCACCTAAATCTGCGGAAACACCCAAATCCAAGAGAAAACAAAGTGCCAGCTTCTTGGGTGGCGCAAAAGGAAAACATTCCCTGAGAAAATGCCAAGGAGAGCTAGCCTTTGTGGAGCAGAGGAGAAAGATCACTTTGGGATGAGAATGCCATCAGACCAGAGCCCTGCCACCAGCCCTCGTCCTTTTAAGTCTTCAGAGCCTGTGAACCACCCAGCTCACCTGTACTCAAGTTTGGGCAGTCAACACTGAAAGCAGTGAGGATTTTCATGGCCTTGGCAATATTTTGTCTCAGAGTGAGCTCTGGGTATGGTTGAGGTGAGCTGGCAAAGCCATTTTTGTTTGAACACTTGTTTAAACAAAATTTATGGAGGGTGCAGCCACAACGGCTGCCAGGGATGGGTGTCAGTTGTTGTAGTGAGCTGTGTTCTGCATGGTGTGGTCCTCTGCTGGCCACCTCACCCAGGGCTCAGGCTGCCTGCAGGGGCTTGCCAGGCTCTACAAACCTTTCCTTGCTGAAATGAAACTGGTTAAAAATTCCCCTTCTCTACCCCCTCTTCGTTTTCCTGTCCCAGCCTGGTGTGTTTCATGTTGACCATAAATTTCTTCACCCATTTTTTTTTTTTTCCTAGCAAATGTGTTCGTGGATGATGCAGTCACTTGAGCAAATATTTGTTAGAAGCCCTCTCACCTCCTCTCCTGCTTTGAGCTTTTTGAATGTCTTGCATTGAGGAATATTTTGCAGAAGTTTATTTTTCCTGGCAGTAAATTATAGTGACCTGCATGAATGAATGGAATGGTAGTAAGGATTATGTCATTTATTTAAATGTCTAGTCCTTTCCTATAGAGAGGCAGGAAGGTAAATAATGAGGTTTTGAAAGGTGATGAGAGTGGGGGTGCTGGGTACCCAGCTGATGGCACTCGGAGGACCCTGCTTTTGTCCTGTAAGAAATGAAAACAAAAGTCCAAAAATTACTTTTGCAAGACACAACCTGCATTTTGGAGTCCTGCACACTTAGTAATTTCACCACTCTTTTTTAAAAATTTCATTTGATGGGTTCAAGGGTATAATTGTGAGTCTGTTTGAAAACCTGTGCATGGGAATGTGCACCTTGGGTTGAGTTTAGTGTGAATCTCTCAAGAGATTGGGATTTTAACCTAAAGGGGGGGTTGATGTTGGAGTTCTCAGCCATTCCTGTGTGGCTGGAGGCTTGCAGTAATTGTGGAGTATAAAATTGCTGAAGCAGTAAATTAAGATTGGCCAGAAGGGGAAACTCTTGACAGGTTTTCTAGTTGAGACAGTTCTACAGAGTTAATTTTATGCCCTTTTTTCTGTTTTCATATGAATTTTCAGTTCCCTTTCTCTGTTTTCATATGAATTTTCAGTTCCCACAGAGCTGTAGAGAGTTATGAATGTTTGTTTAGAGGCAATTGCCGACGTAGACCGCATCTTACGAACTTCAGGTCGTAATTTTAGGTCAAGTTCTGTGTAGAAAACTGTCAGTTGAAAGCCTCTGAAATTACTTTTCCTATATGGTTTAACTGGTTCCAGAGCTGATTAAGTGTAAGTAATAGCAAATGGTATTAAACATGGTAACATATTACACTAACATGAGCATCTGACTATATGGTGTAATGTAGAGAACCCTCTGATTATGTCACAGAGTTGGGAGGTATCCCAGCAAAAATCGTGCCAAATAGTGACACAATGCTAGTTAGGAATATGCCAATAACTTTCCAAACCTTGAACTCTTTTGACAATTAAAAGCCTGGAGCCAGCAGGGCTGAGAAGTTTTCAGTCAGAATGTAGGTGTGAAGTATTCTCATTTTTACCTTGTAATTACTTGCAAGAACTCTTAAGAGTCAGCTCAGATGGTCTTGTTCAAATTTACAGACCTGGCAAAACCCGTGCACTTTTTTTTTTTTTTTTTTTAACAGTGGAAGTAGAAAATACAGAAGGGAAAAAAAAAAAGCAGCAAGTCGTTGGCAGCCTCTCTATTGCACAGGATTCTTGTGCACAGTGACTGTGTTAGCAGGGAATGGCCCATTCAAGTTGGCCAGGATGTTCTGTGCTGGACAAAGTTATTCTTTGAATGTTTGGGATACCCCAATGGCCTTTTCCTTCCTTCTCCATTTCCAAGTGGGGATTGAAGCGGGGCTTTGCTCAGGGACTCAGATGTGTTTGCAGTAGTGGAAAATGGTGGTGATACAAAACTCCGCTGGGATGCTGTGAAAGGGAGACGAGTCGATTTTAGCTTTTTATTAGAGTAGTACACAGAGGCTTCAATTAATATTGGATACTTATTGTCCAGGGCAACATGCCAGCACACAGGAATTGCATACAACAGGAATACAGCAAGGCCAGGAGCGGGAAATGTCACTGTCCATTTTAGAGATGAAAACCCGAGCTGTGGAGTGATGAAATTTCTTGCCCTGGGTCACACAGGAAGCTGGTGACAGAGCCAAGAAGCAAAGCTGGTCTTTGAATCCTAATCCAGTACCTTAATTAAAAGAACGTTCTTTCCCTTGTATAGCTTAGCCCATTAGCTGTTTTTTACATGCAGCTCAAGTGCCTTTTCTCCTCCTTTGTATTTAACAGTAGGTAGAAACTTGGGTTTTTATGGCAAGCTTACTAATAGACTAACTCCATTCTCAGTACACATATATAAAGTCGTGCAGTCTTGAGGGAGAAGGAATGAAAACGATGTGGTTTTCACTCATGAGTTGTATTGTAGTGAATCCTGGTTGTAGGAAGCAACGTGGGAATGCAGCCACTGAGACTTGTATATAATTAGATCACTCTTGGATGGCAATTATTGCTGGAGTACAATTTCAGCAGCAGCAGTTCTGTTTGAGCATGGAGGAGCTAATTGAATTTGGGTTTTAACGGCAAAAGAAAAAAAGGTTACTCTTTGAGCAGTCCTGCTTCAGGTAGCCATTTCTGCCCTATTTAATGTTGTCATCCAGGGAGACAAAAGATGGTTTGGTTTCAGGTGAAGTTTGCCACGTTATCTCATTTACTGGGATTTATAAGCAGCTGCTATAGCACAACACCTCTACAAAGAATATATGATGACCCTGCTGTTTGCTGTAAAAATGAATATATTTTTGCAATTTTTTTTTTTTTCAAAAGAAGCCCTTTTTCAGCCAGGTTCATACTTTAAACAGTTCCTAATTTGCCTAATAGCCATGCCTTTGGCTCTCTTTGCTGAGGAGGGAGCTCCAGGGGTGGCAGAGCACCACACAGCTGTCCCTTAACAGTAATTCATATTTCCATATAAAACCAGTGTAAGAGTAACTTCTCACCCAGAAAGCATTTTAAATGACTCCCTGTTTAAAGCTTGTGCCTCAGAAATCTCATGTATGAGTGATTTTACTGATGGCTGTGCAGAAAAACACTTTTATTCTGAACTCTTGGTTGTTTTATAGGATATATTTTAGGCTATTATAAGATATCCTACTTGCTATACGATAGATTTTGTTCTTGGTTTTTTATGGCACGCTGTTAAAAATCTTACTAAAATGGAATCAACATTTTGCTATTGGTACTTCACTGTTTATGTTTCCCTTCGTTTAGACAGAAGGAAAAACTTCTGTTTTTGCTTCTAGTCAAGTTTTATTTTTGGGCTTTCATGTGCTTTCCCAGTCTCTAGCTGTGAACATGGCATGAGCACATATTTTTTTTTTTTTAAAGACATGTTTCCATTTTGTCATTCCCAAATTCATAAAAACATATGGATTGTTGTTTGCCTTTTGCTGAGGCTTGTTGAAATAA